CAAATGTTAATTTATATGTAAATAAATAAAGTTTACAAATGCTTGTACTAGCTATAATATTTGTAATTTACGCATAAATATTTTCCGATTAAAACTCTCAGGCCCTTGATACACGTGCTACATTGCCGTCTGCTAGGACTCAACATATCTATTTGTAAAAAAAATGCAGCGGTCTGAAGGAATGCGGTCTTTAATAGTCTGTGAAAGATATTTTGTCGATGGATACAATTTTTCTTCATGATAACATATTTTGCATGGCTGTGTTTCGGTTTGAAGGGTGGGATATGGCGTGAATTTACTGAGTACAGATGAATAACACCTGAGTCCTCAGGAATGGCAACGCATGGGGGTGATCATGGGCGAAACAGTATACTCTGTTATGTCCATGGTACTGCTTATGTCTATAGGCGACGGTTACAACTTTCCATCAGGTGGACCGTCAGCTTGTTTGCCATTCTAAGATGTATAAAAATAAAAAAAAATAAAAATTCTCAGGTCTTTAAGATCAACTACAGATCATATGTAGTGTAAATTTTAGTCCGGTTATAATTAAATCTCAAATGGCTACAATGTACAATTTTTAAACCGACTTTAAAAATAACTTTTTTATGTTTATACTTAGTTGAATTATAAATTAATTTAATAGAAATTTTACTAAAATCGGTTCTACAGTTTAATTTTTACAAAACAAAATCGAAAATTAGACTAAATTAAAATAACTGGTTTTGCCATAAGTCGGTTTATTTTTGAAGAGCACAAGTTTTAGTTACTATAAGTATACGTGTTGGATAAGAAATTTGGACCAACGTACACATTTTTACACGTGTACGTCTTGTACAATTTGGATCACAGACAAAATATGGTCATAAGAAAACACCGAAGTAAATTGGCTACAACGTACACATTTTTACAAGCACACGTCTTCTACAAGAAATTTGTATCACAGACAAAATATTCATCGTCTGCGTGGGCTTTGATTTAGACCAGAATATCGATTAGAGTTCACTCTAGGTTCGATATCGGTTCGTTCTCACTTCGATCTCAGTTTCATATTGATTTAAATCTCGGTCTAATAAAATAATATTAATTAAAAACATTTCGACATTAATCGTTACTGGAATGATTGATTGCAGATAGCGGAGTCGATACTGATGTGCCATTTTTCTAGACCTATCTTCAAAATTAAATTTTCAATTTGATCTCACAACAAAACCTTTATAAGTTAAAATTATTTTAAATTTAGTTTATGGTGATTTATAAAATAATAATTTCGTGAAACTATCAAATTAAAATATTAAGGTTTTTTTTAATGGATGATAATGGTATGATTATCCCGCCTGCGCTAACGGTATATGCTGGCGGGACACCAGTGAGGGATGATAGATAAGAATGAAAAAAGCAGGTCAGTTAGCCCATTGTGATGAATACACCTGGAATTCAGAACGATGGTTCCCAGGAGGAACCACGTGGAGTTCGACCTGATAGGATATATTGCTAGCAATGGGACTGGTAGTCTACATTACTATCAATCCCTTTCCCCCTAGTCACCATTGATGACAGCCACGAAAAAGGATGGGGTGGCCAATTTTATGCCGGGACCACATGGCAGTTTCTTATATATACTGTGAATCAAGCTTAAAGATTCAATCTCTTCTGTTCTTTACGAAATATGATTCACTCATCTCTAGATCTTACCAGCCTATAGAAAACCCTAAAGTACTGAATTACTCGTACCATGTAAAATTAATTGAAGAAAGGCAAATTGATCAGTGAAATAGAATATCTGTATGTTGTATATAACCAAGCCATATAACATAGTAATGGATACGACTCGACATACAAGATCGTAGTTTCGAATTTAATACAAGGTCGATCGGTACCTATCATGTTTTATAAATAAGTAACGAGAAAATACACAGCATTTTAGGGATGCGGTTCTTGAACTTTGTATTTCACTATTGTAGGTAGATCTGTAACAAGATTTTAGGGACCATTCACACAGAACGTATTTGTCGATAATGGCTCGGAACATTGAAATTTTTTAAAAAAAAATTATCTTACTTGTGAACAAAAAACACAGTAACACACAGTAAACGAACCTAATTAATTTGGGAGGTAGCGGTAGGCTACTTCTGTTTAATGTATTTTTTATTAATTTTTTTAGTGCATTTAATGCAGTGACATAAATATTCAATATGGTAACATAAAGTACATACTTAAAGTCTAAGGTTTAAAATATTGCTGTGGTAAATCCATCTATTATATACACTCCTTTTTTGCATTAAATCAAATATTTATTATAACGTCGTATGGTATACATATTTTCGGAATACAAAATAATGACAGAGAAAACCATATATTTTGTTCTCACTGGTGATCTTTTGCAAGAACCTTTTTATTAAGAGGATATATACGTATATTTACGTAGGTACATACATGCACACTCAACATACATAATTAATTATTTAATTTTTAATCAATGTAAGTTCCGGAATGGATAATGCGCACCTTTGCAATTCTCGAACTAATTAATTCGAAAGGTTTCGAATTTAAATAATTAATTATTCTCTTTATTGAAACTGTGTATCTAACAAAATGAGTATTGTGAGATAAATGTGTGAGATTACTGTAATTTTAATCTCGGAATAAGTGGTGTTCATATCAGTTTTAAGAACCTATTGGTGATTCAGTAAGTGCAATTTCTAATTTCGGTAATTTTTTTTGGTTTCGAGTCTTCAGAAAAGATGATGTTCCCAGAAACTGTTTTATAAAATGGTCCCTTCTATGTTTTGGGGGTATCTGCTTTTCTAAAGACTCGAAGTTGGAAACATAAATAAAAACTCACCGAAGTTGGGTAGAGGTCGCACTTCAACCATCCCATTAAATATCCCACTGTTAGGCATGGACTTCATCCCTTTAAAGAAGAGGATTAAACTAGCCAGGATTTTATTTTGAGCTTTCCTTTCCTTTAACTGGTGTATTGTGCTTTATTTCTATAGTTGCTCTAAGGAGCGGGGTAAAGTGTATGCCGAGGCGGTCTTTTTATATCTATGTATTAAGTACCCGTTAAAAAATAATCAAATACTGACTCAATATTTATTCGAGTCCTTTTGAACTTGAATGAATACTCTAGTACTTGTATGTGTATTCGAGTACCTTATTACACTCGAATAATTTTCCAATTGATATCTGAGGAAATTTCTTTTAACGGAAATAACAAATGTTCATTCATTTAATAATATTTTTTCTTTTGGTAATTAAAGGAAAAAATATGTTGAAATGTAAACAGGAAAATTATTACTCAAAAAGTGTGGTACTCGAATGAGTTTGTCTTGGTACATAATTAGTAACATCAAGTACTAACAATCTGCACGGGTAGGTATACAGAACTTTCGAAAAGATGTTATTCATTGATAATATTTTTTTATGCAACTTAGAATGCCAAACATGATGACGGCCCACCTGATGGAAAGTGGTAACTGTCGCCTATAGACATGAGCAGTATCATGGACATAACAGAGTATACTGTTTCGCCTATGATACCCCCCATGTGTTGCCATTCCTGAGGACTCAGGTGTTATTTCTCTATACCCTGTAAATTCACTGCCATATTCGATCCTTCAAGCCGAAACGCAGACGTGTACACACAACTGCTTCACGGTAGAAACACGAATGGGACGGTGTTCAAGCAAACGACTTTTGTACAAAGTCTCCCTCTGGTACATATTTGAGAGTGTATATGCACCATTGAGGTTAGGGCTTCTTTGGAAAATAATTGAAAATATGCTAATGTTTTCCCCCTTTCCCATAAGATTTTTTTATACCACTAAGTTAATAAACAAGCATATGACCATCTTCTTTCGATAGGTGAAAAAATTTCTAAAATTTATTGAGTAGTTTTTGAAATTATACATTACAAAATAAATAGTAAAATCTTTATAATATTATTATAGAATATAATTATATATAATTATATAGAAATAAATAAATAGAATAATGGTATTATATATGGATGGAAGCGAGGAATTTTTAGTATAGGGACTCCAATAGTACGTAGCATACAAAAATACAAAAAAAAAATCTGACGTTTATTTTTGCATAATACAAAAGCCTATTGTGATTCCGTTTGTAAATACAATTATAATATTATGCGCTCGTTAAGTATGTACTTAATTCTTCTTATTATTTCGTTCTTGCTTAATTATACTTAAGCCTGTTGAGTTTATGGGCTTATTTTGTAAATTTATAAAATAATTTTAAAACATTTTTACGATGGTAATTTCAATTTATATTTTGTGCATTGTAGTATGGTTCTATAATTACACAAGGTCACTAAAATCATAGAAAAAAAAAATGTAAATAATGGGTCCAAACAATTGATTGTAAAAAATCTAAATTAATCTTATGATCGATTGTTGTCGACGAGACGCTGTCAAATACTTGCTCTGAGATACCAGGTACGCTAAGACTGGTCTTGCATTAAAAAAAAGATATTCTCACGACTACAATACCTAATGGAGTAGTCAGAAGCATTTGTTGACTGTTATTGTTATGGTAAGCGTTATAAAGGGTTACCTATTCTATGTCGTGCGGCCCCGACATAGAATGGCCACCCCTTTCAGAATATATTAGAATCCAATGTATAGAAAACGAATGTACTGTCGCCATTCGGATTAATTTGTTTTATTATCGGTGTTTCCTATCACCGGATTATTAATAATATATATGGCAATGGGCTGGTCACATAGCTCGAAGAACTGGCGACCGATGGTGGAAGAAAGGTTCTTAAGTGGCGACTCCGTAAGGGCAAGCGCAGTGTAGGACGATCCCCTACTAGATGGAATAACGACCTCAAATGCATTGCAGGGAATCAGTGGTTGTAGATGGGTCAGGATCGTTCTTTATGGCAGTCTATGTAGAAGGCCTATGTCCAGCAGTGGATGGATGATGGTTATGATGATGATGCTGATGAAAGGAATATTAAAAATAAAACGAGAGTATCAATCATGAATTTTTAATCTAATTAAATTTAAGTGGAAACATGAATTCTTATAACATGAATCTAAAGAAGGAAACGCTATCATATTCTTAATTACGAAATACTTATCAAATTAACAAATGTCTTTCTTAGTAGTTGTTCAAATTATTATATAATTATATAAATAAGAAACCGTTCAATTAAATATGAGCCACCATATTATGGCACAATTATACGGTATTCACAATGACGCACTCATTAGTAATAAAAACAAATAGAAAAAAAAAACAATTTATTAATTGATAAATTACGCAAAATATAACAAACATACATTTGCGAATTGTGCCGAGCGCGAGCCTGTTTCTGTGTAAATAGACGATGCATCAAGTTTTTCGATTGCTCTCTTTTGTAATATTTTAGTTTCATTTTGAATTTCCAATATACAAGTTGAAATCGAAGTATTTTGCATTTTTTTAATGGCAATATTCTATTGAAAAAAGATTTTTCTTAAACAAAAATGGAGCGAAAACTGGGAAAACAATTTGAGTATACAATATTTAGTAGACGGTTTAGTAGTTAAAAAAAAACAGTTTTATTGTACAACACTCTTGTAAATGGATGCTAATTTGTATTTCATGCTGTAGTATTTTTTTATACTATTATAGTGACAAACAAGTATAGGGCCTGTCTGATGGTAAACCCTTAACGCACCGTTTATGACTCGGGTATATTGTCGACCTTATTACGTCCTTTTTAAAAATCCTATGTTTTTAGAGAAAATACGTTGAAAGGGAAGCCATTCCAGACTCTGAGCGTTCGTGGAAGGTAACTCCTCTAAAACTGCATGTGTATTTTGTTTATTAATTGATAATTCACGATTAACTTGATCCATCTTCTATTTACACTTCGCAATAATTAAGCTCGCCAGTGCCAAATGTAAAACTACCTATAATAAAACGTGTAACAATTAACTGTAATTAAAAACATACTTTTACAATTTTAATTTTATTTTTCATCATTATTTTGAGAAGGCACATGAAAATTTCTTACAAATAAATGAAATGAGACGTGCTGCGACGAAAATCGTCATATAAATTTTTTTTCTTGTATCACTAAAAAGCGAACCGAACAGTGAATGGTGAACAGAAGTTACAAGTTACAATCGTGAATTGTAAGACTGGGATTACACTTTACAATTTGCCGTCCGAGGTTACACTCTCGCGACAATAACAATGACGTTAGAAAAATGCGTCACCAGCCTTTCAAGGTCAATCAGTCGCGTCGCGTTACATTCTGTAATTTGCGCTTACAATTAACATTTTTGTAACATAATATGAACAGGTCTTACACACTATATAAAAATACAACAATATTTATTCATCGGATGAAGCTCTTTGAACTCTAACGAGCCCCGTATTGGTACGTCAGCCGTGAAAGTAGGTAACGATCTGGACCTTAATGCGATGCAATAAAGTCCCAAAAACATGTACCTAAAGTATTCCAGCTACATTTGCCGACTGTACCTAGGTGATATGCCACAGATAAAATCTTATTTTGTACAATGCTACCGTTATTTCATTTACAAAAATTGTCTATTTTTAATTAAAACTCAAATATTTGGATTACGGTTCTAAAATCAGATAGAGGTATATGAATCTGACTACATTCGACTTGCACCCCCCTTAGACACTTACCTATCATTGATAATATTTAATTTGATCCCAAAATAGATAATTCTTACAGCCAGCATGACTGGAGGCATGGAAAGGAAAGTAGCACGATAACATTAGGCGTTTTATATACATATTTATAGCCGATAGCAATAAATATATGAAGTCCGAACATTTGGAGTAAGTGGTTTCAGGAACAAGAAAAAATACTATTTATTATTTTTGAGTCCTTAATTAAAATGGCGGACTTTTTTCCAATATAGAATACATGTAGCACATTAAAGATACAATTAAGAATCAATAGCCAAATTTAATTAAAAATCGTAGAATCACAGAAAATTTTTAAAGTTCCTCAGATCGAATGGTAGAAATAGTACCTTTATAGGATCATTTTGTTGTCTATTTGTCACTCCAAAATTTTTTTTTTATTTTTCCAAATGTGGTTTTAAAACGGGTTTGATAAATTTACCTTAATTATAATAATTATTATATATTTAACATTAATATTTATTCCATTAAAAATTTTAAGAGTTTTTATTTCATTTTTCACTTAAATGCCAATATAATTATTATTAGCGATACAAAATAAGTTACTTCTTTGGAAATAATTTGATTTTATAATTTCAAGTCCGCTGTTTTGTTTCCAAATAGAAACTCCTTACTCCAAAGCATCAAGGAACATCACACACAGTAAAAACAAATATCAGCACACTACCACTACGCTACAAGTAAGAAAAATATATAATTTTCATAAAACTAATCTCTGAAAGCTCGTGAAAATATATTTAATAGTCACAAGATTGTCTTTTATATTTATAATACTACAATAAGTACTAATTGAATAAAAAAAAAAAGTTTGAACAGTAAATGTTCAATAAAATATGATAAATATATCAAACAATCCAAATGTCATCTGTTTTCCGTCAAAACTGAGAGAACTTAGTACTAAGAACACGCAAACTTAAGAAATAATAAAAGACAAACGAAAACACCTTAGTCATGTCTTTAGATCTGCTGCTTCAAACTGATTTTGAACCATCCTTTATTCAACTAATCATTTCAAACAAAAATCTCGTTCAACTGCAAGAAATCTATTACTTTGGTTATGTTGTGTTATTTATAAACATAAATAAAATCAATCTTGAAGCTGTCTTTTCAGGTGTTAATGATTAATATTGTGACTTTATTGAGATTTTAGTGAAACGATGACATATTATAAATGCATATCACAACTGGCCTTTGAATGATGTCAAATAGGAAACACACTTTAATGCGATGTTGGGAGCATGAAATGTCATGGTTACAGAATTTACCGTACTACAATGTATGTAAAGTACAAAATTTCAAAGAATCTCTCCTATATATGTAATTTAAAACCTTTTTACTCAAAACTATGGAAGCCAAAACGTGACGATGTAGCTAAAACACCGCCTACAAAATGTGACATAATTTCATTATTACCTATGAGTTTATTATAAACATATGCTTCTAGTATTACCGAGATAGCTTTTCTAAAACAGTTTCAAAGACTGGTCCTATTTTTAATTTCGAAATTTTAAGAAAATACAGCAGTGGTCCAAGTTTGATTGAAATAAAAAAACGTGAAATGGTGCCAATAGTTACTAAAAACATCCTAATTTCAATAACTAATAAGTCAAAATATGCTTAAATAACACTAAAGAATTTGATATACCAATAAGATATTCTATTAATGAAAGAATAATTAAAAGAAATCAATATATCTAAAGTAATATTGGCACAGTTCCACTTAAAGTCGCTTATAATCCATTATAAGAAATTACATAGAAGAGCCATCCCATATAGTTTAAAAATGACTCATTTAATATAATATCCATTTATGATTGTGGTTCTGACCCTGCCTCGTTAAAGCGATATAACTATATTATGGTACCGATATTATTACAAATTGTTACAATCTTATTCTATACTACAACAAGCTTGACGAAACATCCTAGGCCGTTAGGAACTGAAGACTGACAAATTAAATCTAATTTTATCTCACTAGAAACAAAGTGAAAACCGAAGAGTAAAGAATGAACCAATAGTGATCTAAATTTCACTAAAATTTGGAACTGTTTAAAATAATTGAAGTTCAGCAAAGGAACCAACGCAGAAAAATAATTCTATTCTTACACTAATTCTCACTTATTTTACAAACTTACCGCAGAGCAGTAAGTGATACATAACAGCCAAGTGAGTACCAATGTCGTTATTTCATAAATTAGCGCCTCGCAGTATCAATTGAACTTCAGCCTTCGAAACGTTACATACGATCCGACTTATTATATCATCAACTGTCTCCTATTTATTATCATTAAAAACATCATACAATTTTACTTCTAAGTCATCATTAAAACTTGTATCAATATCATGTAAATATATATTTTGTTGAATTTTGTCATTTGGATTCTGTAAAATCCCTACTTGTAAGTTGAAGCGAGGCGCCTCTTCAATAGTGTCAGTTCGTGTAACTATGAATTTTCCGGTTCATCCCAGTCAACGTTCGCCCATTGTGGCAACTCCGTCTCGTATTCCCAGCCGGGACCCTGTGCAGAAAATATTTAATATAACTTTTCTTATTGTGAATGTTAAAACCTTACGATTTCAACCTTTCCATTCTTTCTCGTATACAACATTCACAATAAATATTCTATTTATAGATGAATACAAAAGTTCAAGTGTCTCTTAAAGATCTATTTAAAAACCTTTATATTCTGGTTTGTAATAAGTTTATTCATAAAATCCCAATATTTATATGCAATTAGGGAGATCTAATTTGCTCGAAAGAAGTTAAAAACGGTTATATGGATTTGATTTATCTGTATTGGTGATATAGCATGAATGGCAACCAATGAGTTTTGCCATGGATATTCCAGTTTACTATCTATATTATTACAAGTTGATAGCCCCCTTGATGGAAAGCGGTAACCACAGTTTGTAGACAAGAACAGCTTTATGAACATCACAAAATACACTGTGATACTTATGGTAGCAAATGTTGCTATTCTTAAGACTATGGTGTTATGCTCCTACCCTGTAATTTTATATATTCTTTTAAAACCGAAATACAGCTGTACACTGTACAGCTGCTTCACATAAGAAGTACACCTGCCCACAGGTGGGATAGAAGTACTTGTCCAGACGACTTTTGTATAGTTTCCCTCTGGTTGAATGTTGGTATGAGTATGTATGAAAAATAAAATAGTAACACTACCTGCGCTATCGGTATACGCTGGTGGGGGACCAGTGAGAAATGATAGAAGATGAAAGCAGATAAGTTTTTTTTTGATGGATAAAAATGGTATGGTAACCCCGCCTGCGCTAACGGGATACGCTGGCGGAGCAGCAGTGAAGGGTGATAGATGAGAACGAAAACAGGCCAGTTAGCCCATCATGATGAATTCATCAGGAATTAACCATGGTAGTTATTTTTCAGGGAGAACCGCGATGAGATCGACCTGGTTGGGTATATTGCTAACAATAGGATTCTCAGTCTCCATTACTACCAATACCTTTCCCCCCAAGCAGATCAGTTAGCCCATCGTCACGAATTATGCAAGAAATAAACACGTCGGTATCTAGAGACAACTGTTTGGTTGACCTGAATGGATTAGACCGCATTATTGACAATTCCTTTTCCCTTGGTGTGTATGTAGGTATGAGCGTATGTCTGGCGTGTACGTAGAGCTCAGTACCTTGTACTTCCAAGCGTGCAGGTACATGACGAGGTCCCGGGGCCGCGGGTCGCGGTACCGCACGCGGCACTCGTAGCAGTGCGGGTCGGCGGACAGCGCGTCCGGCGCGCCGCTCGCCGAGCTGCTCGGCGCGCTCACTGCCGGCGTGCACCCGGTCTGTGTCGCCACTGTCACTTTGTCCGACTGTGGACAAGAAGATTAAAGTCGATACTTTGTTTACGCGTAAACCAAATTTATTCATTTTTATTTATTTATTTAACACTTTATTGTATACCAACATTACAGGATTTGTTGATCATTTTCAAAAGGCGGTCTTATTGTTAAGCAATTTTTTTTTATACAACTTAGAATGGCAAACAAGCTGACAGTCTACCTGATGGAAAGTGGTAACCGGCGTCTATAGACATGAGCAGTACCGTGGACGTAACAGAGTATACTGTTTCGCCCATGATACCCCCCATGCGTTGCCATTCCTAAGGACTCAGATGTTATTCCTCTGTACCCAGTAAATTCACTGCCATATCTCGCCCTTCAAACCAAAACATAGCCATGCAAACACAACTGCTCCACGGTTGAAACACGAATGGGACAGAGGTACCCAAGCAATCGACTTTTGTACAAAGTCTCCCTCTGGTAAAATCTCTTCCAGACAACCTTTGGGTAGAAAGAATTTAAGCATAAATAGGTAGGTGGCACATTGAGAGCTAAGCTATGTAAATTTGTTTTTGTTTTGGATAGATGAAAAGGGAATAGTAACACCGCTTGCGCTATGGGTATACCCTGTATATACCAGTTAATAGTAGATGAAGATGAAATTAGGATTGGTGTAGACCATGCGGAGGAAGCAAATCTATTTACCAGCCAGTCATATATGCGAGCGATATACATAGTATCTGGTTTTACAGTGTAAAGTAATAATAAACTAAAGATGTAGTAACAAGTTATGAGCAGAAGCTTCCCTTCACCTCGGTAAAGAGCGACGATTAATTTAGTTGGCATTGTCGGGTTACCTAGGTCATATATTTCATATTTTATTGTCTCGTTCACTGTACTTGACAACGAATAGTGTTTAATTATTATTTATATAGATTTAACGTTAAAGAAAAGATTCTTACAAGACGTCCAAGCAGTTTTAGAATAATCACTTCATCAACAATTCCATAGTGTATTCGGTAAATGTATTTAGCTGGTGTACATTCTTGTAATGTATCTAGGTACGTTTTGATTTTATAGAAGTATTTTTATCTTGTTTGGCATTATTTATATTTTGTCTAGGATTAGACGACCAAAAGTATTGGATTGTGGAACCCAAGTTATTTTTCCTCAGACTTGCATGGTGTTGGCTTGACCTTTTATTTTAGATATGGTCAATATATACGTCCATAATACCCTTTATAATTTATGCGAACCTCATACATTTATCAGCGATTATGTAACAACAAAAACACTGTCGTCCGGGCCACTGAACGTCTCAAGGGAGATATCATTTATCATTTGTCAGAATCGTCCAAACGCAAGGCCTGTGGAAACTTGGTTCATATAATATGCATGTACCCGTGGGACCACAAGTCTGTTTCTCCTTATATGCATCTGTATTTAGTTCTTATTATTAAATTTGTCATGTATTTATTAAATTTTACAAGATCTATCTAATTTTACGCATGGTCCCTTAAGGAGTTGGTGGACCTTTAACTTACTATAATAAAAAACACTGAAGAGGCTGAATTTTTGCATTGAATATTAAATAAATTATTATATACAGAGATATTGTGATGTCTATTAGTAATCAGTGTACTGATATTCTTAAAGTCCTGAGCAATTTCTGTAGTTTGTAATCTATTGAGTTTATCCATTACAAATGATACTAGTTATAAAGATAACCTTTATATACACAAACAAAAAGAATAATATTAAGAAGACTTAATTATACAAAAGTATGATAAATAAGCAATGGTAGGCGGCTTTATCGCTAAACAGCAAAGTCTTCCAGGCGCCTTGAAAAGTGAGGACCCTGTTTACCTAAACTAGGTTTTATACCTGTGATATAGGTAATATCTTTAAATCGACCATTCATAGAGATGAATCAAATGAGTCTAGTTTAGTGGAACCGCATAGTTTTATTACAATATTCCTATATAATATTATTTTACTGTCATCGAAATATATAAAAAGAAAAATCATTTCAATCTAATCCTAATTTTCTTAGCCGGCTTATTAACCATATCAATTAGAGAACCAAATACATTATAGCCTTATCTATTATTTAATGTTTTTGCGACTAAATTTTGTGTTAGTATCTCATTCATCGATAACATAAGGCGAAGAAGGAAAATCTGATAATGTCATAACTTTTATTATAAGAATCTTGAGCCGTAATATGAAAAGCTGGTGTTATGATTTCCGCGCAGTGATTTGACCATGAATTTTTGATAAGGGTCGACGTTTCCTTTGATGAGGCAACGTGGAAAACCAATGTTGACGAAAAGTTGATACTTTTCTCGACCTTGATTGTTTTAACATATTATTAAATCGGAAATCGATATAATATAAATGACGTTATTCATTACAATATGTCAGACAAAAATATAACCAAATTCAATAAATCACAGTCCTTTACAAATTATGTAATAATACTCTTATATTTGCCAATATTATAAATGTCAAAGTAAGTATTATATGAATAAAATATCTCCTATATATATTTATAAGTAAAAGTTTCGCTTACATATTTATTCTCCAATTTATTATTTTCAGGTTTCCTAGAAGGCATTTATTTGTAAACTGCTTTTAGGTTGCTCAGATTCAAATCCACGTCACGTATTTTGCATGTGGGCTACCCAATTACACTACGATATCACAGGTACAATCTACAGCGTTTACTTTCCAAACTTCTTAACTCGATTAGAAACAAATTTAGAACGTAGACCGCTTCAGGGTGGATTCACTACGAGTACGTATACGCATTTAATATTACCTACCTGTTCGGAGCTCACTGAGATTAGATTTGCTAATATCATAATATTTTCATGTCGTCAATCCTAATAAAATATTCCCAAGCTTATTAAAGTCGGATGGTTCATCATAGGATGAACATTTCCATTAGCAAACGCCACTTGGAGCTAATTTAATTTCTTATATGATTTGGAATGGGAAATAAGCTGACGCACTCTGATGGCGAGTGATGACCGTTGCTTACCGATGAAAGGATCATAAATATCACTTTCATTTTAAGCCTTGTTCAACTGATTATATGACGTAAGTTTTGGACAATCAAAATTTAGTTGTGCCTCGTTACATTCACCAAATCATCTCTTCACTCTGTCTGTGATTTTTTGCAATACTATGGTTATAATTGTATTCGTAAGACGTCTTTGTGCCACGAATTTGTTTCATCATGAATGTGACAGAATAAATTATGATATCCATGGTAAACTGTACGTTGCTATTTTAGAGAATCAAGACGTTATCCCTCCGTACCCTATAATTTCACAGCTATATCCCACCCTTGGAATCGACATACAGCCATAAAAGCACAGCTGCTTGGACGCATAAAAACGAGTAGTAGGTCTGTCTTTTATTAAAGATCACCTGTTTGGCATAACTTAAATATCTGGATTTTTTAAAAAACCTTTTCTACTTGCTTAGTTCATTATATTAATTTTAAGTGCATAAAGTTTCTAGATACATTTTCAGTTCTTCTATACAGGGTAAAATCAAAATCGTTGGTATGCTTTTAAAGGACCTTCTGCCAGTGACACTGAATATTTTCATTAAAGGAATATAGGCCTAAAAACGACAAAAATTTTGAGCCTCCCATAATAACTTAAAATTTGGTCGCTCTGTTTTTGAATTTTTGAATCACGATATTTGTCTTAATAAATTATGTAGCTCATGGGAAGATTTTTAGCATTAAGTACAGTTAATATCGATCTTGTAAATAAATGTTTTTTGCGTATCATCTTTTGAAAGTGGAGCTAGTTATGCAGAAATCTGCCATTTCTTATGGATATCCCAGGTAAAGTGGTTCTTTTCTGCATAACCTATTTAAATTTAAATTGGTGTATAATGTATACCTTGGCATCATTGGAGTCATCGTTGAGGGGGGGCGATGCAAGTGGTGAAGGTGCGAGGGTGCACGGCGGTGCTGGCGACGTCGCCACCTCTACCGGAGCCTCCGCGCCACTTGAAGGACTTGGAAGAGTCGCTGGTAAGAAACACATTGTAATTAGTGAAATTATGGGGTACATAAGTATAACATCATAGTCCTCAGGAATCGCAACGCATGACATGAGATGAGCTTCACAGTGTAGACTGTGATGTCCATGATGCGAGGGTTACCACTTTCCATCAGGTGTGCCGTCAGCCTGTTTTACATTCTGAGTAGCATAAAAAAGATGTCCTGGATATATAAATATATTGAACCAAATTAAGCAACTTATAACTATAGTTGGCAACTTGATGACCTTGATGATGTAGGGGTATAACATATCTTACGTTTCGATGAACGTAGATTTGATCTTAGATATATCCTATCCTGTACCATACATATATTTGCATTTATAAATATGTGTTGTCTATGCATAATCTTTAACTGAACTAGGAGTTATCTTACTGAATTTCACGTCACTGGTTAATTTTTGATTGATTTTAATTAATTATCATATACATTTTGTTTAATTCCGCTACCATTAGTATGTTTGTGGGAGCGGAATTAAACAAAATAATCACCTATAATAAATCACCTATGTATAATCTATATGTAATCGCTTGTCAAGCATGGTAACTACTGGGGAAACCCTTCTTTATAAAGGAGGCCTATGTGGAGCGTTAACGGCTGATATGACATTGATGAATCTAAAGGTATTTACTAACAAAAGAATTCAAGTATTTCTATCAATATTCTAGTATAATATATAGTATAGTTTGGGACTAGATGGTGTTCTGAGTATTTATTAGCATTATTATTCAGAGAGAATATATCAAGTCAAGAGAATATCGTATTATGCTACAATATATAGTACTTACGCGTCATAACAGTAGAGGGCGTGACACCTGGCGCGGGCGATTCTAGCCGCGGCGACGATTCCCTGGACGCGGGGCCGGTGTCACAGTCATCCTCGCCAACTGGCCAATCAATCAATCAAATAAACAATCAATAAATCAATCAACGAACAGACCAACCAATCAATCAAAAAATTAATCAAGTCTGTTGCAAACGTTCATGGCTTAAATGAACCGTATGTTTAAGTGCCTCATTGATGATCAATAAAATATTTTTTTTTACAAATTTTACTATAACTTAGTAATAATTTTAATACATTATTTTGTCGTGATTTTCAGTAAACTTGTGGTCAGTGGCCAGTGAACATATAATGGTCATGCGGACGAAGCCGCGAGTAAAAGAGAATAAATGGTTGGTTAATTACCTTTGTCGTCAGATGTGGGCTTGGAGAACAGCAGATCATCATCGCCCGCGTCCACTCCTAGCCAGTTCTCGGCATTATGTATGGCTATGAGATCTCTAACGAGTTGTTCGTCTGTTTTGCCGCCCGTGTCCCCGCCCTTACCACGAAGAGGTCCGAAGACTGGGTGGTTGTATAGCGGATCGTTCACTACTGGGTAGCCTAAAAAGTAATGTTAATGTTAAGTCTCGTCCACAACATTAAAATCTAATAAAATAACTAACCAAAAGATCATTGAGAATTAAATGATGCGATCATTTAATAAAAATATGGTCAATAGAAAGACGTCTTTACAGTAGTGAAATATCGGTATCATCATTATTATCATCAACATGTAAGCCATTATCTGTCAACTGCTAAACATGCCTGAATAGGCCTCCTCCATAAACTGGCAGTTAACCATTGGATTCTCTTCTAAAGAGATTGAAAAATAGAATATGATTTATTTGCATCACATATACAAGAAAGAGGGAAGAATTAAGTTGAGACTGTTAAAGGTTAAGAACAAAAATGAAATTAGTCGGAAAAATTTAAATTTGACAGAACCTTGAAATCACGATCAGATTTTTTATAAATTGACAATAATAGTATACTAGATTATATAAAAAAGTTAAATATATTTTAGAACATACCCAAATACTGCAAGTGGACTCTGATCTGGTGCATCCTGCCGGTCTTCGGCCGACACAGCACCACACTAGTGTTCGAGTTTCCGTTGTAGCCTAGCCGCTTGAACACCGTTGAACAGTCCTTACCCTTTGGAGATACTTTACACACTCCTATCTTGTAGCTCACTACTTCTATTGGCTCTTGACATTCGATTTCGTCCCTGTTTGAAAAAAGAACGTCATTTTATTAAAATGGTATATTCCACTGTTGAAAATACGCGTCTTTCATAGACTGTCATAAGGAATGGGGTCGTTTCTTTTGGCAGTTTACTGTTGGAGAAATTTTGCCAGTAGTTACTATGCTTGGCGTGAGATTGGCAACTGTGGTATGGCTTTTGGTGATCTTTTACCCTCCTAAAAATCAATCATCTCTCGACCATTAAGCTCCCTTACTCGCTTCTTACGACACCCACAGGAAAGGAAAGGATGGCCATTCTATGCCGGGACTACACCCAAAATATATGTTTACTTACGAGTATATGACTATCAAAATATAATGTTACTAGTTTATTAATATTGATAAGTGAAAATTAAGATTTTCTCTATTACTAGAAAGGGATAAACTATTTCTTACATAACATTTTCATAACAAATATAATTACGATAGACGCGATAAATCTAGGATTTCGTTTAATTATATTTAACCTGATCGGTTTCGCTTTATACATAAAGGTCCTTCGTACGTTTTTAATGTTAATACAAAGTATTTGGTCAAATTCGGATCCTTAATATTTGAGTTTGGACTGTAAGCTACTAAGTAATGATGCTACCTTAAAACATTATGTTGATAAATATTTTTATTTCTTCTTTTTTAGCTAAACACGAAATGGTTTGAACGTGCCTACGCTTATAAACGACTCGAGTGTTTGGTGGGATGTCGACGATATTTTCTACAAGCAACTGGCTAATCATTATGCGTATCATGTTTTTTTTTTACTTTTATACATATATTTTTATACAAACTTAAAAAATATTCTTAATTGTACTGTAATCTTATATTTTATTTAAAAGAGCATTAGCAGCTTTTTTAATTTATTATTATTAAACGCTCGGAATATCTACAATTTTGAAATTTATATGAAAAAATAATAAACGTAAGAGAAAAGAGCGTTATCTTTTTACGTGTTTGGAAATAAAGTATAAGTATAATAATAGATAAAATGTAATAAATCAGGTATAAAGTATAAATACATAATCTACCTATATTCGACAAATATTAAATAAAAAAAAAACAATTTTTTTATGCAACTTACAATGGCAAACAAGTTGACGGTCCATCTGATGGTAAGTGGTAACCGTTGTCTATAGACATATAGACATGAACAGTAATATGGACATAACAAAGCATACTATGTCACCTATGATAAACTTCATGCGTTGCCATTCCTGAGGACTAAGGTGTTATGTCTCTGTGCACTGTAATTTCATTGCTATACCTCACTCTTTAAATCAAAATACAGTCATGCAAACACAACTGTATCATGGGAGAAACGAGAATGGGACAGAGTTATTCAAGCAGACGACTTTTGTACAAAGTCTTCCTCTGGTATCAATACAGAAATAGTATGGAACTAACACGGTGCTAAACCGCATCGATAGCAAAAATAGTAATACCTCGACTTCCGTTATCGCAATTTACACAAACCCAGAGTTATATGATTTTTAAATGTTTAAAGATTCGTTTGTTTGAACGCCACAAACTCTCAGTTGTTCTATTGTATTATTGTGTGTCGCGTGAATTCGACGCACTGCTAAGAGCTTGCAGAAATGCGTGAAAAATTAAACCCCGAATTACGCGAATTTGACTACGCGATTATCACTCAGTCCTACTTATCGCGTAAGTTCGGGCTTCATTATGAAATAATGAAGCCCGAACGAATCATTTAATACTTCGTGACAAAACCTGTTTAGAATTAAATAGTATATATGTATATTTTTTTGAAATTACTTAATTTCGTTTTCATTTTGTATATTTCTATTAAATTTTGTCTCTTTATTGTATCATAACGTTAAAACCGATCGATATAATGTCGTGCTACGATAAATTATAAAAGCGTTCATTGAACAAAAATACTTACTCGGGGAACTCGCCGTCGACTCTGCAGACGTACTCCTTCTGCACTTGTCGGTTCCTTATCTGGTGCTCCATTTGTCTCGCCTTCTTCGGACTCCTCCCGAACAATAGCAGCCCTTATCAAACAAACACATTTCACGTTCTTGAGTTTCTTAACAGAAATTTTAGTTACATCTGATATAGCAGTACTTTCATAAAAATAAAATTCCTTCTACAAATATATTTTATTTTAAACGAAAGCGTTGGTAATTTTGTTAGTTTTTACTTTGATGAAATATTAATGGTATGTTTAGTATTGTAGTCTATACAAATAGAAGATTTATTATTGATACTTAAAATAAAATAATAAAGTTGAAAAAAATGATACTTATTAAAATTTATATTTTGGAATTTAACATCAAGTAAGTACGACGTAAGTCGATTTACGAGAAATTACGGACCATTTATATTATATGTACAGTTAGTTTTAATTTTTAAATTGTGATAATTTCGCAGACAAACCTTCATAGAGTAGATTTATTTAATAAAGCCATTTTCTACGTTATAAATATGCAAATCACAAATGTTGGTTCTATTTATTCTTCATATAAAATTCTAAATTCAAATTTGAGGTTGAAAATTCTGCATAACCAGTTTGAATAGAAATGAAAGATAAATGACCAAAATGGAATTGAATGAATTGTAAAGATCTGTCTGAGCATATATTTATTTTCTTATATTCCTGCAGATAAATTTACTCGAAAGACATTCGGTTTTGTATATTGAATAGGGTTTAATTGTTTACAGAAAGGATCTTCATTTCAAACATTTGGCAAAAAATACTTTTTCTGTATTCTATCTGAATTGAATACATATTTTTATTAATAAAACTAATTTTTACAATTTAAAATTAATATGTAGTTCAGGTATGTTTCTAACATATTAAAAAAAAAAAAACAGTTTCTACATACAGAAAAAAAAATACGAATAAGGGAATTATGCTTCTAGAAATTTTCAAGATATGTTTATATTTCGAGTATTTTTGAATTTGGAAAGTAAATATATTTATAAAAAATCCTGCCAAAGTTTGGAGCATGCTCGAGTTTGATAACGGTTCATATGAAAGTTTGTAGATAGATGCAGTGCGAAGTGAAGCATTCTCTACGTTATCGGTTGAACAACTTACGAACTGACATTTACCTGACGTTAACCTGTCCAGTCTGTGTATGGTCCTTAAATTCTTCAAGTTGTATTCCTTAGCGAGTATAAAAACAACTGTGTTGTGCCTATATCGACCGCATGGATGCACCTGAGGTTACAACAAAATAAATGAGAAAATATTATACAAAATTCATGGGTATTAAATTAAAAAAAAAAAAGGCTGAAAGACAAAATACAAATTTAATAGTAGGCTTAAATATATTTCTTTAAAGACAATGACTAATCAAGTCATTGAAAATAATTTTATACAAATGCAAGTTTTTCAAAGAGTTACAATTATTTAAATTAACATTAAGAATATTTATGTAATTTAATTATTAATGTACGATAATATTAATAGTTATCATTTAAATTGTTACATGATATAATGACGTATAATTATCAATCTAGTTATCACAATTATGTAAAAAAAAGACCCAGAGATTTTCGACACGATAAACAAAGATAGAAATTTAAAATTACATATTTTAGATACTCCTTTGAAATGTTATTTAAATATTAAGATATAAAACAAAAATATAATTGATGCTTTAATAAATGATGAGTCAATAAACACAAACGCTAGTCGCATTATAAAACAAAGTTAAAAAGAAATGAAATGGAATGTTATTCATAGACAGTTGAAAAAGTATATACATGCGAAGTAACTGGTGCAAAAGCTTCAAGAACATTGCATCATGTTGAAAACAATTGCTGTTGCCAACATGATACAAATGAAACATCTTCATGGTTATCATGCAATTATTATGGATTGAATAAAATACTACATACTTGAGATACTGAAAATTTCTAAAGATACATATCTTTAAAACAATACGTGTTAGGCTATAAAATATATAGATTTAAAAATATTATTTAAAAGAGGAGAGTTTATAAAATATTTTGAAAAATCATTTCGTAACAACGAAAACTTCGATGTAGTAGGAATGTCAGCTTTCAATATCTGCAAATCATTCGTATAACAAAGTAACACGATATTAGCCTAAACAACTCAAACAATACTAACGGCACACACAATCGAGTTTGGGATCCACTTACAAGTGGGATTTTAGAGGAGACCGCACATTTTTCCCAGATCTGTTTAAGGTATTTACAGTCTCGAAGTTTTGTGCAGATCACAATCTTGTGTCACACTCTGATGGCGAACTTTGCTCGAGTTAGTTTGAAAACAGAAAAATTTCCGTGGAACTTAGCGAGTGTTTTTAGATTTATATGCTTAAGCGCCGGAGTTTTGTGAAGAAAAAGTACGAGGTCATATTAAATTGGTGTATTCGAGGCAAACATTTCGTGTTATGTCTCAGAAAAATGTTTCAAGTTACAACGACGCACTTGGAGGTAATGCATTGTATTATAAGGGACATATTGCAGGAACTCTTATTATTACAAATTTAATAATAAAATAAAAGATTTACAAATTTTGTATACATTATTTATACGTATATATACGTATTCTTAAACCTATTTTTATCATCTTTGGATAATTATAAATTTATATTTACTTATACTTTAACTGTATTAATTACATAATTAAAAATCAGTTATTGGTGTACAATTGACCAAAAATATTCTAGATTAATGTTGACTTTGATTTCTTGTCTACCAATATCTTTGATTGTCCCATACTTGTCTGCGAGAATAGGTAACAAGATCTACATTACATATGTTAGTAATAGTACGTTGTCTTAGTGAACAACCATCAGAGTCTGACAGTGAACCAAACGCGAACACAACTCACCGGCAACGAGCAAGGCTTGTCTAACACGAGCAGCTCTTCGTCCGCGTGTATGATGCGCAAGGGGTTAGCGAGCACTGGAGTCTCGTGCCTGGCCCACCACGGACACAACAGATTCATTACCACTTGTATTCTTTACGATGCTTCCGTTGCATTTGGGATATCGTCAATGAATATGGTATCAGGCGATTCATTAATCGTTAAGAATTTTGGAGGTGTCATTTTGCATGTCCATTAAGGAAGGAGTTTGTGATTGTTTGGTTGGAGATGTCTTGTGTGAGATAGATATATTTGGTAGTATGTCATTAATAGTTGGTAGATATTAGTTATTATTGTAAATTTCAAATTTCGAATTCAAAATCGTGAAGTGTATATCGTGAATGTTGATAAGAATGCAGCATTTTCATATTTGTGTAAGTTACGGTAAGGTGTTTGCTGTTACTGTGAGTTTAAGTTATCTAATATCAGTAGTAAGATATGTTCTAAATATGTTCTATTTTCAAAATAGTCCTAGTATTTCCTACATGACAAATCTCGAAGCCCATCAGTGGTAAAGTAGGTTGCGTTATGCAAATGGGGTCTCGGGTTTTAACCTAATTCTCAGAGGGGCGATAAAGGAAATTTACTTTTCTAAATTGGCGTGCAAGCTTGTGTTATTCTGTCGTTCATCTAGTTTCTAATAGAATACTATTAGATATGGTTTATTAATTATTATGTAATAGTAAATTACATTGAAGCCATAATTAAATTTAATTATGAATTAAATTAAGAAAAATTAAATTGTTTATTACAAAAAGTAAAAGATTTTATATATTTACGATCTATCACAAAATATTATAAAAAAAAAAATCATTTATTAATCAATATATCTGAAATAACAAATTAATCTTAATTATAAGTACGAGGTAAAAGTAAACACAAAAAATCAATCTACTAAATCGTTACAAATAAAATAAATATTTATTCCTGAAAAAACATATTTTTCCGAAAAGTTTCTCTAATGTTTCCCTCAGTCAAATAATTCAATATTTGATTGCAGGAAATGAAAATTATACAAATCTCTGAACATTGTAAATAATGGAAAAAGTAAAGGAAGCCGCTGTTAAAATTACAGTATTTCTAAATTGTAGGGTCGAAATAACTTGAATTTTTAAAATGAAGTGGAATTCAATGTAACGATTCCCAAATGCAATTAAGCATCACGCACACATAAAAAAATGATCGTTGAATCAAAATGTAATGACAACAGAACTTGGCTGTGTAGATTCGTCAGTTAATAACGTATTAGCCTCTATGGGGTTTTTAGATCCACGCTGATTTAATGGCGGGATATTTTACGTTGTGAAATTGTGTACTTTGTATAGTTGCTTTTTGGCACTCTTGTGTAATAATATAAAATAAACAATTACAGTACAAATGTTAGTATTTTTATGAAATGTCAATATCATTACATATAAATAAATGTCTACAAAAAGGGATATACAGAGCTACATCAGCATCCTTTTAAGAGAGTATTTTATAAGTAAATTGAAAAATACTAACATTATATGTCCTACTGTTATGTTAGCACAAGAGACCTAACATTTTTGATGTTTTTTAAACAATATTTCTTTGCAGAAATGGTTTAGTTTCACCGATAAAACATTTTAAAAGAATGCTAATGATTTCAATAAAGGTTGTCTGATACCTCAAGAGCAATTTATAAGTAGAAATATCTTCAATCAATCAATTTTAATTTTTATTGACAGTCACTGACGAGATTTGGACCCTACGAAACGAGAAGATATATCGAGGGATTTTTTTTTATAAAAGCATGTGAATAATCAAAACTGGTACGAACTGAACGAAATTTACATATACAATTATTTGATAAAGTCATCAATACAGTATCATTTATTAAGATTATGTTTTTTCTATACATTCTGTTTGATTGATTGGATCGGTTGTTGCTATTTGCTATATTATATTAACAGATTGTATGTAAACGCCAACAGAATTAAGTCAGATCAGGTATTTTTTTGGATAAATTACCCTAATATTTCAGTTTCTTCGACCATTCAACCACTTTAGGTACCCGTATCAAGGGATATCATCAGTCAATGTAATCGGCCAGTCATTCTTCGGGCCCTTTTGACGATGTAAATAAATGAAATCATTTCCTTCGTGCATTTATACAGAATAGTTGGACTTATACAGACTTCTAAAGTAGTTCCTAGTTAAACATGTAAGTGATGTAATATTATTGGGATTCTGAAAAAATTATTGAACTAGAATTATGCCAAAGATGTCTATCTTCTTATAATAAAGTTTTAGTTTGTAACTATAAAGAGGTAGAGATTAGAAGTCTCTCTATAACTCTCATTAGTAACTGTGGCTGTAGCCCAGTAGAAAAAGGTGATAATAGATTTTTATAGACTCAAATATACAATAAATATGATATTCAACCCATGATAGTGAAATGTCATTTAAATAAACGTTTTAAACGTTCAAAATGTTTTATATTTAACAATTTAAAACATTTTTATGTCTTATATACATATAATTATTGTCGCTCGCTTCGTGCCTCAGAAGGGATATTAAGCAGTCGTTAGGTACCAGTACACCGTTATTTCGACGACACGAACGGTCTAAAAACGATAACTACTAGAGGGCATCACCCTCATAAAAATTTACTTTTTAAAGTAAAACAAATGATAAATGCGGAGTGACTCTGGAGAGTAAAACAGTAAAAAAATTGTTATTGTTTAGACCTTTACTAGTAAAGGATGATGATTTAATGATAAAAACAATAGTGGAAAAGAAAAACTGTTATAATTCTCGTTGTAGTTATTCGACTTAAACAATATTAAATGAAGGTATGCGTAAAGTGCTGTCTGTGACATGACACGAGGTGACGAACAGAGCCGATTTAAGCCGAGAAAGCCCGACGGCTCTCAAGTGTTGCCGTTCGATGAAACTCGACAGGAATTAAAAGCAATTTATCAGACAATAAATGTAACGAACAAAGCTAATTGTTCGCAAATAATAATATATACATTAGGCAGCATACCTACTAAATAAATGGTAACTTAATACATCGTATATTGAGCCGTTATTTAGTCGAAAGTTAATGGGGGAATTGCGATAATACAAGTAGGTATGGGTAATATGGATACCGATCCGATATTTATATATTAGGTTTCTCTGGACATTGATGGTGAAAAAAAGTTTTCACTTATTATGACATCATCCATATCGGTCGGATATCTATTTTCGAATATGTAATACAATATTATTTACCAGAGGGAGACTTTGTACAAAAATCGTTTGCTTGGATACCTCTGTCCCATTCGTGTTTCAACTGCGAAGCAGTTGTGTTAAACAGAGTAATAACACCTGAGTCCTCAGGAATGGCAACGTATGGGGGGTATCATGGGTGAAACAGTATACTCTGTTATGTCCATGGTACTGCTCATGTCTATAGGCGACGGTTACCACTTTCCATCATGTGGGCCGTCAGCTTGTTTGCCATTCTAAGTTGCATAAATTTTTTTTTTAGATAACAGAGTTTTATTTTTTAGTATATAAAAATTTTAACTATGTAGATATTGCTATATATTACCTACCCCTAATAATATTCAAAAACAGTGTCAGTACCTCGCTCTGGCTTGATAATAAGTTGATTTCTCTGACATTATTCTTTTTAACATTAACGCCTCATACCATTAGTTAAATAAGGCAAAGGTTAATTTTAAATAGTCAGTGAATAAGCTTTAAAATTAATATACAGTAATATTTGCTGGCAGATAATCCTCCATCATACAGCACTCTAAAATATTTCTTACTAAAGGAAGACTCTCGTAATCGGCAAAGGACTTTGAGCGAAGCTTTTAGAGCAACGAAAGAGGATTTCGGTGTGATGGTAGCTTTAGATGTTTCGGTACACATGAGTTTGAAATGAAATTACGAATGCAATAATATTTTGAGAAATACAACGTTTGACGGTTTAAGTGATAAAAAAATTCACGTATTTCTTTATTGGATATTTCGGAATCTCTTCAGAGAAGTTCTTTTTAATAAGGCTTTTAAAGGAAAGAAATGAACAAGGAAATTTTAAAAGAAAATTATTTGTAATAGAGAGTACGAGTATGAGAATTTATGCAAATGAATAATGTTGTAATGCGTAAATAACTAGTTTTTTAAATAAATAGGTGTTAAATTTCTATGATTTTAAAACTAACTAATTTATGGTGAAACTCAATGTAATATTGAAAAAGAAAATTCTAAAAAAAAACCTTAGAATAAATTGTTTTAAACTTAGTTGATATAGCTTTGATATTCTGTACAATTATTTACTATTTTAACAACAATTTTTATTATATATTTGGCAAATCTGACTAATATTTTTGTTTCTGAATTATATTTGATGAAATAAATGATTTAAATTAAATTGACAATAAATAATTTGAAATATAGTGGGAGGACATGTAATATTTTTTATGGTCACATAAAAGGATAAAAGTTAACAGGAGATTGTTAATAACTACATGGTAGTTCTATAAAGAATGATCACATAAAAAGGTGAAATATACAAATACACAAACATCCACTATATCTACGTTATTAACACTAATAGCATAACAGAAATGAAGAAACGAAGTAATGCACAATATGAACAGAAGCGATACACATAACATGGCTGTCTCAATTGCCACTTACGGGGATAGAGGCCGGTTTGTTGACAACCACAATGTCCTCGTCGATATGTACGAGGGTGATGGGTTGGCTGGTGACCGGTACTTCGTGCCTGCAACGATACACACGTCAGGCCTTGGTTTGAGGCGAGCTCCAGACACTGAGCAAAGTATCATCATCCCATTGCCATCGATTCCAATTGGATGTATCCAGTTGTTAATTTATATAGACGATATTCTTGGGATTGCTCAGGGTCCGTTGTATTTTAAATTGTTTCGACGAATGGAAATATAGATTAGACGAGTACAACACAACAACAAATGAACATGCGTGAGCGTATATATATACACAATGACACGTATGAGATCTTTAAATAAAGACACACGTTTTACAATAAGAATTAATGATAGTGGAACTTCTATTTGTGTCTTAGTTGGGAAGCGGTCAGTGCACTCGCATGCTCATTCGGTATTTAATTTTTATTTTAGAGGATTATATTATTGTTAAAGTAGACTATACACAGATATATAAATAGCATTTTTATAAAAAGCCCCTGCATATATTTGCTCTAAGTTAACATTTCATATGTCACTATTTTTATGTTTATTAATTAAAATATTTTAAATTCGTGCGGCAATTAAAATTTCCAATAATCATCTACGGTCTTCTATAGATAATTAAAGATGTTAAATTAGAGCTGTTATATTTAATTATTGAATTTCTTACAGGGTTTCTTAGTAAAATTAAAGATAATTACAAGGAAAGATAGGATAGTCACTGTTAATTAGAACTAAGGTTGTATCTGTGTCCAGTATATAATGTACAAGTGTATGTGTACATTGGAAAGTCCAACTAGTGTAATAGATAATCTATATTGTCGTAATAAGCTATCTACATTGAGCCACAGATATTAAAGTTGTTAAACAATGTGAATTTTGTACCTATGAACGACATTTGCTAGAAGGTCGTTGTGTTTGAGCCTGTAGTCTGGATCCACTCGTTCATAGTTGACAGTGAGTGTTCCAGCCCTGATGCACCTTTCGTACTCAGCTGCTGGATGAGCCCTGAACTCCCTCGCGAACACGTCGAGGATTTTCTCACCGACCCACCTTCCTTTGGTGAATGTTGTGAATGTGAAGTAGTATGGATACACTTTCCTAAGCCCTGCAAATCCAATGGAATATTGAAATTACGTTTAATATGAAATGCTTTGTATTAACATGTAAAATCTCCTTAACTAAGCGATTTTTAACATCAACCGCACTACTACTCCACAGAAACCAGATTTTGTAGTTCTAATAAAAGAATAAAATAGTATTAAAAGAATACAGATTATGTTAATATTTGATAATATTACAATGTTACACAGTTTTCTATCAAGTGATCCGTATCCCTGATTATCACCGCTTTCTAAAAAAATAAAATCCTGTGCCTACTAATTAATCAGTGAAACAATCAGCAGTAAGCTCTGTCTTAAAGGAAAAGAAAAGAAGGAATGGTTGTTGTTCAGATTTAATGATATAGAAATTACCTCTATTATATATTACTTTAACGGTGAAATTTGCTTGATAGATTATTACAGTATCTGCATGACTAATAACATGAGAGGGTAGTGAAATTAAATTGAAGAAATAACGGCATTGCGGTAAGATGACTAAGGCCATTAGCCAATAACATAATGGAACCCTCCGCTCCCTCACGGTAACTATGTCGGAAAATGTAATGTTCGAATTTTATCAGTCAAGTGGATTCATATTATATAAAGTACTATTCACTAACGTCTTATTAAATTATACATAAAATGATATTTAGAATAATATGCATTTTATTGGGTTACTTTTTGGTATTAACTGTGTCTGACTTGCGCCATCTACCTTCCTCTCTGTATTTATTTACTTTTTATGCCAGGTTGTCTGTGAGAGGTTGCTTTTAGCAATTTAGCCGCCTTTTGTATATGCACATTCTGTATAAATACTCCTTGTATACATCTCTTTTGTGCACAATAAAGAGTTTATTATTATTAATATATCGGAATATTATTAAAATCCAATTCTGAAAGTTTCAATTATGGAAATTATCAAGAATATCTATGTTTTTGTCAGATTTCTTACGATATAGGCAAAATAAACAGGCTTGAGCCGTTTCGCACGTCTCAGGTTTCCTTCACTTTTATTACGTGGAACTGGATACTCTTGATTAGTAACTAATTCTTAGATAGTCTATGGACTATCTGGTTATGATAGGAAGTACGCTGGTACAAGAGGAGGTGCATGAAAGAGGAGGCCAAAGAAAGGGGAGAAGAAATTTTCATTTTCAAAGACTGTAACTTTTTTTTCTAGCTTTATATTCTATTGTATATCAAATACTGTTTCGATTTCGCGTGAATTAATATGTGTTAAGTTAAAGTACAACCTACTCGTGTACCAAATTTTATTCAAATTCGTCTAGCCGTTTAAGCGTGTTTGAGTACCAAACACACAAACATCTAAATATGTATCTTTAACAACTTTCACATTTATAAGTAGGATCATTTGAATGAAATTTGCTACACAAATAAGTTGTTTTAATTTAGCGATTCTTACTTAATAGGATTTGATGGGATTCTTTACTTAGTGATTTACGCGGGCAAATCCGCGGGATACAGGTAGTTTTCATATAACGTAAAGTCGGTCCAGTCCTGTTATATATTGTCAAAGGGCGATACTGAGAAAAAAATCATGGAAACGAAATTATCGAGAAAGTTGTGGGAGTTGATGTAATCCAATAAGTTGCTGGAGATTATGGGCTGTCGCTCTTAAAGGAAATCAAAGGGATTTATGGATGGGACGAAATTGAAAAAGAAAACTCTTTACAATATTTTGTGTTCAAAATATTGTGAAGGTAACAGATATTGCATAAAATTTTAATAAATAATAGTTTACAATACTAAGATCTTATTCTAGGCACAAAATAACATCGTTTTGTTTCTAAACACATTTTATGTTTATTTCACCTCATTATCGTACATTTTGTATCATAATCATTGTATCGCTCTTAGCGATAAGTCCTCCCATTGTTTTCTCATTGTGATTATTTCTTGTAATTATTTATATTTATAATAAGTTTACTATTGTAATCTTTTGGAGGAAACAATAAAGAGTATCTATCTATCTATCATTTTAGCCACCACCACCATGCCAACACCTCCATTATAACCTTACAATCTTGCCTTTCGTAATTTTTTTTCATTTATGTAATTAATGTAATGAATAATAAAATTACAATTTTTTGCACGTTGAAGCGTGTGCGGCTGACAACTGACCTTTTGCTACAAAAGGTTTTTACGGTAAAAGAATTGTATTGAATTGGATTTCTGGGGTCAAAGTTTTATTTCAATAGTATAATTTTGTTTTATCATTCAACTCTAAGAATCATAATTGTTTCACTTTGTATTTACTGTTTAATTCGTAAATTGGACTTCTGCAACACGAGAGGAGTTACTAGTTCGCTGCCGGCCTTTTAAATGTTTGTAAGCTCGTTTTATTAATTATATATTATTGTACAAATAGTTTTTTTTTTTTTTTGTAATTATTAAGATGCGGTTAAAATTTACGTATGTATAAAAAAAATTGATGCGCACTGGAAACGCACGGTTTTTTTTTTAAATAAAATAAGCCATGCGACTCGTTGATAACATGGTTTTCTATAGACAAAAAGAATTTTTAAAATCGGTTATACAGTTTTTGCATTTATCCATTACAAACACACAAAAAAATCTAATCTTTTCTCTTCATAATATTAAGTAATAATTATCAATAAGTAGGCACTTACCATTTTCAATATAATAAGACGTCTCGTTGTAACGGTCATCGGTAAATCCTGGCCTCTTCGCTTTCAAAGCTTTCGTTTCTAATTTTGCCTGTAACAAAGAGCAATAAATAAGAGCCTGTTCTTGAAAATGTGCACATTATATGGAAGAAGATTTATGTATGTATGTGGTTGTATGTATGAATTGTTTTAGTGTTATAGTATTACAAAATAATTTCTTGGATTTTAATAAACGGGGTGTTGTTAGATTAGTCTTAATTATGATAGTCTGTATGATATTTGTATACGGTCATAATGAATTTTTTTTTTATACCACTGAGGTGGCAAGCAAGCATACGGGCCACCTGATGGTAAGTGGTTACCGTAGCCTATGAACACCTGTAATACCAGAGGTACTACGCGTGCGCTGCCGACCCTGAAGAAACTTCTTTACCCCCCTTTTGAAGAACCCCATGCTGTAGTCTCTTGGGAAAACCTCGGCAGGGAGCTCATTCCACAACCTGAGTGTTCGTGGGAGGAAACGTTGGAATTGATGAAATGTTGACATCATAGACATAGTAGCACACTCTCATGTAATATATATTTTACATTTAAAGCTTTGAGTTTGACTGAACTGAATTAAAGTAAATACATTTATATTAATGTAGATAAAGTAGCATATACTGAATAAAACAATAAAGGAATTTAAATGGAATAATAAAGGGTTTAAAAGTATTTAATATGTAATTATAGACTTCAGCGTATTGGGTGAACTGTTGACATGCGACAGTAAAGACTGGTACTCTTTTATAATTATCGTCAGTACCCTAACTGTTGAAATTAGGGGGAAGGGATTGTTGGTAAAGCGGACTACTAGTTCCATCGCTAACAATATACTATGTCAGCTCGACCTCCATGTAGTCCCCTTGAAAACCATCGTGCCGAATACCAGGTGGAATTCATCACAAGTGGTTAACTGACCTACTTTTGCATTCTCACCTATCATCCCTCACTGATGCCTCGCCAGCGTATATCGTTACCGCAAACGGGGTTACCATTCCATTATCATTCATAAAAATATTTGTTAAAATTATAAGAAAAAAAATTTTTAATTAAAAATAATCTCTTATAATTTAGTCTGTACAAAATTTAACTCGGCGAATATTTAATTTATACTTATACTTTATATTTAAGTTATTTATCGCGGCTTTATCCGCATGTATCAGTATGTAAATTACCCTATATGTTAACTAAGAATAAAACCTACATTTAAGCAACAATTAAGTAATAAACATACAAACTTCATAAATATGAAACTTTACAAACTTTCATACTTATAATATTAAGTAGGATTTCCGAATCTTCCGAAATTTTGGCTCCTGTATAACAATAATATTTAACAAATACATTTTAATGCATTATGAGAGACATATGACAATAAATTCCCAATAAGAAAATCTACCTGAAGTTCGGGCAACTTCATGATTCGCCTTCCGACTTGTCGAGAACTCGGAAAGTTTATACATATAGGGAAACAATTTCTCGAATATTCGTCGAAATAATAATAGATTGACAGAATATACGCGGGAATTGTGTGCCGAAATCGCTTTTAAAAACTTCTGTCAGCCGGGACTCGGCGTTGAAATGGGAAAAGTTTTTTTAACAAAACAATGGCGGCGCGAGGTTTTATTAATTCCGACGTCGCCGTCGTGTTGTTTCGCGCGCGAATTGTGTCGTTAAATTTTCAGGTAGACGCAAATCGGATGGCCTAGCTGCATGTGGTCGTCATATCTAAGTGGAACAATTTACTCATTTGAGTTAACAAATTGGAGATAGTCGAGCATATCATACTCGGAAGCATGACATGTATTAATATACTAATCTATATACAGTATCATGTTATAGCTAGCTGCTACAGATGGCACGTTATAATATTTGCACTCATTTACTTTGCATAATACTCTGCGTAATATATCATGCTACATCTGTTTACATATTCTCATTATGTAATACAAAATATATATTATAGCTATAGCAAGATACCTTATATGGAATGTCTATAAGCTGTTTTCTGCAAAACTAAATAAATAAATGGCAAGGGATGGGTAGCAGCATCCCTATTAAAACATCTCTAAAAGTCTATCTGCGGTTGCCAACCCGTCTGCTAAGCGTGGCAACTACTGTCAAAACTCTCTTTATGGGGAAGGCTTATCCAGCACTGAATAGTTAATAGCTGAAATAATAAATAAATAAAACTAACTCTAATTTATTAATTTAAAGGATTATTAAGATTATTAATTTAAATTTAATATTTTTCATTTAACAAAAGCACATATATTTTTTAGTTACCTAACATAATTAACATATGATAGAAAAGTAGAAAGGGATAATATTCAGCCTGTAAATTAGTCAACAACAAGTATATTACTTCGAAATCCAGTGAAGGTATTCATAAAATATAACAATGGTCCCAAAAAGCATAGCTGAAATTATGAATATAATTTTTCACCTTTTATACTAAATCAATCATGTGACTAGATGATTAGTATGAAAGTTAAAAATGTATTGTGAAGATACAACAATGGCCTTAAATAGAAGTTTAAAATTTACTTTAAAACATTCAATAATACTGGTTTGAATTCATTTAAAAATTAAATATTCGGTTTAATTTTATCCTCTACAAGTTATAATGCACTTCCATGTTTGTATTCAGTTGCCTTCGACTAAAACGATGGAAAAGGCAAGATTGATGGCATGAAACTCTATCCTAAGTCACAGACAATTTTAATAACGAGTAAATTAATAAGAGTATTTATTTACAATTATATTATTATTTTTATAGACTATGAGGTTTCAGTCTATATTTTTATTAACAAAATATTTATACTTATTGTATCTTTATGTCCACGCGATATGTAATTGTAAACAAACTTGATATAAGTTTTAAGTATGTTTTTATATACACAAAATTAACAAAAGTACGACATAAGATATCGGTGTGTAAGAGGCGACTAAGGGAGGGCGAAGCATGGGCAGCAGCGTTCCTCTTAAAACATCTTTAAAGCCTATTTGTGGTTGTAAATCCGCCTGCCAAGCGTGGCAACTACTGGCAAAACCCCCTAAGAGGGAGGCCTATGTTCAGCAGTGGACAGTTAAAAGCTGATATGACGATAATGGTATGATCATGCAACTTAGAATGGTAACCAAGTTGGCAGCCCACCTAATGGGAATTGGTAGCCGTCGCCTACAGACATGAACAGTACCATGGACATAACAGTAAAACGGATATAATACTGTGTCGCCTATGATACCCTTCATGCATTGCACTTCCTGAGGACTAAGGTGATATTTCATTATATATTATGTGTAATTGTCTTTGCCTATAAAGCACCCTTCAAGCCGAAACACAGCCATGCAAACGGAACTGCTTCACGACAGAAACATTAATGGGAATGATGATATATACTCCGTATTAGGTATTTTTTTTATAATTTTGATTAATGATTAACTAGTTTTGATATTTTTTTAAAAGTCATAAATAGTAATTATTACAAAATTTATTTTTTGTAAACAGATTATATAAACTTTACTTATCAACACCGATAAATTCAATAAAACACGAGAAAACAGTAAAATTCATTAGGGCGAAAGTCGAGCGATTTACGAATTGTTCTCTCCGAGGCATTGTTCGAAACAAAGACGATTTTTCATCGTGCAGTGTACCTCCGGAATTATAACGGGCCAAATCGAAATTTTAATTGAGAATAAATCTCGACTCGTGATATTGTACGTGCGTAAAATAACACAAACAATAACAATGCTATTTCATATTGTAATGCACAAGTATTAAATTATCAACTCGTACACGTATAAACGTGCAATGCAGGCGTAAATGTGAGATTTATAGTTGAAAAGTTTTAATTTGTTTAGTTTAGATTGCTTAGATTCTAATAACAATTTAATTTAAATATTTATCCCGTGGGTGTCGTAAGAGGCCACTAAGGAAATTTAATAGCTGAGGGATGAGCAGCAGCATCCCTCTTAAACCATCACCAAAAGCCTAATTGCGATTGCCAATTAGCCTGCCAAGCGTGGCAACTACTGGTAAAATCCCTCCTTATGGGGAAAATCTATGTTCAACTGTGGACAGTTAACGGCTGATATGACGACGATGATAAATATTCAGTTTACATTAGAAATTGAACATTATACAATATTTTTGATTTATAAATATTTGTAACTTAATTGTACTTAAAAGATAAGATCATTATCAAGGGATAGAATTACTTAATAATAGCTTATAATAATATTTTCTTATCTAAACCGAAACGAAAAAGTAGAACTACAAAAATAAGCTGTCGAACTCTTTCAGTTATATAGAATAGATTAGATATTTGTAGACAGGTATATTTATATAGATAGTAGATTATAACTTTAACTTGATAATTTTACCTAGTCACATTACAAAGATTGGTAAAAACGTGATCGAACGCCTTGATGAAAAGATTAAATTTTCAAATGGATAAATCCACTTCTCTACAATTGAAATAAAATTTCATTTTGCAATACCCACGTTCGACGAACGCTACACACGAGTACAAAATGCATACACGTAAGTATGCATACCGTAAAACAAAGTGCTGCTAGTTTTACCGATTAAAAATACGAAGGCTCCAAAACATGGAATAAATGGAAATGAAACGAACGGAAACTTTGCGGTTGACTTAACGTTGATTGCCGTAATTTAATTTTATATTTACGAATGGATTGTGAATTGTTTTCAAATTTATTGTAGGAATTGATATATGAAGATTGTTAGCAGTGAAACATTTATGGTTTTATAGTATATAATATGTCGTAATAGAGAAATATCTAATGTCTTTAAATTATGAGACTATTCGAGTTTATGACTCAATGTGTCAGGTAAATAAAAGTAAAAAGTTTGATGAATTTTAATAAATCATAACAGATTTAGACATAATAAAAAAAATCTAGAAATGGTAATAGATTACATATATAGGATATAAAATAAATAAAAATATTGCAGGAAATGAAAACTATAAAACAGCCTGTTCATAATTTTATTATACCGCTGTTTTTTGGACTTGATTG